GACGTGTTTAAAAAACAATTAAGCCATTACAAGTTGCAAATCGCCGTGTGCATTTGGATAACTGACATGTACTCGTTATGTGCACAATATAATATAGATATATCATGATATACAAATATAACTTGATATAATAATACGTTGAGCATCAGACTGTGGAATGAATAAGTAACACTGGTATAACCAACAGTTAAAATAAGGTAAATCTGTGATTATGGAAGTGACACCCATCAACGCCCAACAAGCACTGTAATACAGAGAAGCCACCAAAACAACTGTTGCTGCACCTAGGAGTAAATACCGCACTAATAACTCAGTTTTACTGGTAACGCTGCGTGCAAGTTATTGTTGTAAAACTCTAACTGAAGCATTACAATCATGACAATCAACCATAGTTTGGCGCTCATATAAGAAAGAGTAATGTCAGGAAAGAAAGAGCAAGTACGTTGAAAAGTACTACAAAGCTATAACCTTGGGGCTCAGATCAACGGGCAGACACCGAGAAATCACCGAAAAGACGAAATTAAAAAAGGATGCAAGTGAATATGTTATTTACCCAATTATGATCAAAAAAGACCTGAAAAAAAGAACTGTCGCCTTCTTACTGCAACATAGACATGCGAAAACCTTTCATAACTAATAAATTTTAGGTTAAGGGCAGATCTGACTGATGATCGGTGTTTTGATCGCTCCAAGAATGCATATGCAAAATAAAATTTGCATACTAAAAACAACATACATATCGATATTCAAGCATGAGCACAGTTGAAACCATGATGTTGCGCAAGCAATTTTGTGCCTTACCCGCGAGTCCCACTCATTGAAAGCTTTGATAGTCAAGAACTGCTTTTCTCCGTTCGGTCCCAGCATAATGCCGTCATGTTCGCAGCGGCACACAAGAACAACGCCATTTCCAAGGTCCCATTTTCGATACCTAGAGACAATTCGTGCTACCACTTGATACGCATCAGTCTTTACGCACGAAAATACTTTACACGCAAAAAAAACCATATCACGACAGTACAGTGATGAGATTTACATTATATAATATAAAATGATAGTGCGACTTCGCTGCCTTGGTTTCAAAATAAGGTTTGGAGTAATAGCTTTTGTGCTCACTCCAGAAACATTAGGCGTCAGTTCAAATAAGTTCGGAACAGGTAATTCAAGTCAAAGAAACTCCAACAGCATCTGAAATTAAGGACTGACCAGTACAGCTCAGTGAAATTTAAACAATTCTGATCATGTCGATTATTCACTCCTTCTTTCAGTTAATATTCAACACTATCGACAATAAGTGAAGGGCGATGAGATCAATTTGAGCAAGTACATAAATCTTGCAGCGTCTAGTAGACTGTTAGTGTGAAAAGATTAAAAATAAAGTAACCGAAAGTAGCTGTGATCGATTTGCGCATCGACAACAATAAATACCAGGGTTATTCAATCGATGGAGCGACAGACTCGCAACTGAGATGCCCCCGGTTTGAGCCC